AGGCCAAAGGTTTATGTCAGGTGTCTCCCTTATTTACTCTCCATCACTGAGGATCTCTCACTGAGGCTGGAGCTGTCTGGTTCTGACTGTCTGGCCAGGAAGCCCAGGGTTTCTTCAGCCTCCCCAGTGCTGGCATCACAGGCACTCGCTGCGTGGCTTTCTACAGGTGCACACCACTTCACTGGCTTTTGTATACACGCTGGGGATTCAAACTCAGGTCTTCATGTTTCTACAACATGACTTCACTAACTGAGTAATCTCCTTAGTCCCCAGAATAATAAACTTTTGTCCATTTATATTTATTTTATTGTTGATTCCTACTCTATTTGTACTGCATAATACTCGTGCCTGTTCGCATACACACACACACACACACACACACACACACACACCACCACCACCACCACCAACAACAACAACGTCACATAAAACCCAAACCAAATACCCATATTGTCTATGATATTGGTATTGATATTATGACTTAGGCATGGTCATTTTTTGTCATGTTCTGTCTGTACTCCAGAAGAATACACATTTTTAAATTTGTTGGCTGAAAGGTTGCATATGTATATGCATATTTGATCAATTTTAATTTGACTTTTAAGCCATGTATTACATATGTGAATTATGCAGTTGGTAGATGCAATATTGTTATGATTGAGTTTTGTGGATTGCTTCTTTTGTTGTCAGTCTGAGATGCCATTCAGTGCTTTGCTCAGGAAGATATTTCCTGTCTGATGTTGTTAAAAGCTTTATTTGGGTTCGTACTTTCCTAGTGTGTATATATCTTTTATTTTAATATTTCTTTGTTTTGCTTTAGATGTGACTCTTGAAATTTTTTGTAGCTGGGTTTTAAGAATCCACCCAGTTGAGCTGGTCTTTATGTAGCTCGGCAGTAGAGCACTTGCCTGGTATGCACAAAGCCCTGGGTTTGAGTCCCAGCACCACCAGTGAAGCAACAAAATCCGCTATTACTTGATCCTTTAATACAGTGATCTCAATCCTCACCCTTGATTGGCCTATCGGGATTCACTGTAACTACCTGGTTCTGTAGTTTCTATTGGCCATTCCTTTGCTTGCATCTGAACATCTTTTCTCAATTCCCTCTGGTTTGAAATACATTAGATCCTCACCCACATGTCAGTAAGGAAACTGCATTTCTTTTACAGCTTTGTGCTTTTAGTTAACCCATTAATTATGGACTGAGATGCTTCTTGTCTGAAAGAAAATGACACCAATCCTCCATGCTTTCCTGCAGCTGCTATCATGGAGGAGAAATCTGGTGTCCACATACTGCTGCCATTGGTTGTCTGTGCCCCCGCTGGCCCCAAACTATGGTAGTCTTGAAGTTCTATCTTTGAGATCTCGATAGCTATTAATATTCATCTTTCTAACTGTGCTGAGTATATGCTCAAAACTAAATATTTCTATCTTTGTGTAATAGAAAAAAAACTATTCTTAAATTACTGATTTTCTTTTTTCTTTCTGGGGTACTTTTCATCTTGGAGCCTTCCTCACTTCTCTGCTCTTGTCTTGACTAGCTCAGATTTCATTAGAAAATAAAGTGATTTGTCTTTTTTTTTCCATAAGTCTCTTAAATACCATCCAGTTCACTAGTTCTGCTCTGACTCTGCCCAGTCTGGTGTTTTTCCCTGTGCCTGGTTAGTTTTTTGTCAAATTGGTACAAGCCTCCTCATCCGGAAAGAGGCAGTCTCTATTAAGAAAATACCTCCATTAGATTGGCCTGGAGGTAAGTCTGTGGGCATTTTCTTGATTAGCAAATGATGTGGGAGAGTTCTGCCCACTGTGGGTGGTGCCAGCCCTGGTCCTGAGTTTTATAAGAAAGCAGGTTGAGCAGGTCACAAGGATCGAGCTTGTAAACAGTGATCCTCCCGGATCTGCTTCAGGGCCTTCCTCCAGGTTTTCACCTTGAGTTCCTGCCCTGGCTTCCTGTGTGAACTGACTATAACTGACAAGTTGAAATCAGCCTTGTTCTCCCCAAGTTGCTTTTGGTCATGCTGTCACAGCAATGGAAGCCTAACTAGGACAATCCCATTTATGCTGTCACAACAATGGAAGCCTAACCAAGACAATCCCATTATTGAGACTTTCATGGCCAGACTTTTTTTTGTTGTTTTTAAGAGTTCTAATTTTTAAAACTAAATTTTTAAAGTTTTGTTATTTTGGGTGATTGTGTTTTGCTAATTGAAAATTTCCCTCACTTAATGATTTTGGCTGTGGCTTAAACATACCTAAGAGGCCTTTGCCACCTTGTTTCACAAAGTTCTTTTTGTTAGTGACGAATTTGTGCTATATCGTATACTCATTCTGGCTCTCTTTCTTGGTGTATTTTCTTTAGATTTAGATCTAGGATAAATAATATTGGAGAAATGTCCTTTGCCTTTAAAGCCCTCTGTGTTCTGGGTAGCTCACCCAGAACTTCGGCTTCTTCCCTGTGGCAGTTCGGTGGGTGTGTGATCTAACCCACAGAGGCAGGATGCCCTGCCAGTCAGGACAGTGGCAGATGCTGGTCTGCACCTGAATTCCTTTTTCCACCCTCCTTTTCTTTCCTATTTCCAGACCATAGGCAGAGCTTGAGGCCACACTCTCACTCTGGGGCACACTCTTGATCCCTTTTCATCCAGTGGGAGCCAGAGTCCCTGCTGCTGCCTCTTCCCCTGTGTGTAGATAATTAGTGCTCACCATGCTGTGTTTGAGTTCTTTGTCAGGACTAGGACAAGATTTCTTCTGATTCTAATCGTTGCTTTGTCTTTCCGATTTTGTTTTTGATATTTAAGGTGTCATTTGCGTTTATTCAGAACATAGGGAATGAATTAAATTGGAATTTATATAGTCACCTTGATTACAAATGAGCTTGCTTGTCAATATTTAGAGTACAGTTGGGTTTCCCTACAGTGAGGGCAAGGGACCTCTAGGAGTCCTACCCATCTTTAGAATGTTTATATGGGGGTATATTTGTCATGATGCTCAGCACACAGCAGGTGCTGAATGCTCAAGTATTGTTATGGCTGTATCAGTTACTTTTCTTTCCTGGGACAGAGCATCATGAGCAAGGTAACTTATGGAAGGAAGGGTTTATTTGACTTATGGTTCTGGAGACCCTATAACAGCAGGGGAGGAATGGCAGCAGGTGGCTAGAGCAAGAGAACACATCCTCAACAGTAAATATGGAGTGGAGAGAGCAATCTGAAGGGAGTTTGAGGCTACAAACTCTCAAAGCCCACCCCAGTAACGTACTTCCTCCAGCAAGGCTGCCCAACCTCCCCGAGCAGCACCACCAACTGGGAACCAAGCGTTCATTTACCTAAGCCTGTGGGGGGAATTTCTCATTCAGTAGTAAAGTGACTTAAATATCTAATGTCTCGTAAGTATTCCTACTTAATGTCTCAAAATAGCTAAATATCCTGGGAGAATTCAGGTAAAGCAAACAGTTGTCATAACTGTAACCTGTGACTCCCACTAACAACAAAACCAGGCATTATCTCTTTCCAGATGAGAAAAGAGTGGAAGTCACATTCATTTCTGGTCTCCAAAGTAGAGATATTCTTTTCTGTATGCCCCACCAGGCTTTCTGAAAACAGCCCATGTAACCCAACCTAGTGAGAGCATTCAAGTTCCAGCCTTAATGCTCTCTCAGGGTCCAGGCTAGGGGCTAGACAGCAGGCTGGGAGAGTTTTTTTAAGAGCAGTTCCTCTCATGGCTCTTTATTCTTCAAGAAAATGTTCTTCCCAAGAAGTTCCCTCTCAAAAGCTCTCAAAGTTCTCTTAAGATCTAAAAGTTCCTTCTTGTAAAAGTCCTCCTGAGGCCCTCCCCTATTCCACAGGGCTTCTAGTTTTTATATCCACAGGCACATTAAAAACTATCTGACAATAGAGCATGCATATCTCTAAGAGCCAGGTAGGATCTTGAGCAAAGCAGGTGCCTTGGTGTCTCTCCCCTGGACATGACTTGCAACTAATTACTGACTAAAGGGGACTTCTCAGTGCTACGTCAAAGGGAAAAACTAAGGCTATGTATTGTGAGATCCAGAGCAAAGTAACTTATGGATGGCTGATACTGCTCTTATTGCTCTTACTCCAGTGAGAAGGAATTCCTTTCTCTGGGGCCTATTTGAGAATACAAAGCACCCAGCATATATTCTACATACAGCCAAATTCATAGTAACAAATATTCTGGAGTTGGTACCTGGAATATTAATTGCTACTTCTGTAATAAATGATAAAGGCTCTTAGCACCAACGAATGAGAACTAGTCAAGGAGGTTTCAGGTCTAACTCTGAATGCTGAGTGGATCTCTAATGGATATTATAAGATCAGGATTTGTACATGGGATTCTCCAGTTCCAACAGCAAAGAAATTAAAGACAGACATGCCAGTCATCTTTTACTGCATCACACAGTCACCCCAAATAAAGTCTCATATTAAGGGTTAGGGTGAGGCTGTCTGATTTCTGTCCTCAGCTTGAAAGGAGAGAACTCCTGTCAAGTGGATTCTCTTGAACACCTCAAGCTTAGTGGTTTAAAACAATGATGTTTGGGGACGTGGTCAGCTGAGGAGACTCTCCTTGTGTGTTCCCTCAGCTGTGTGTCAGCTAGGTGGCTGTGTTTCTGGAGCATGAGTGGCCAGCTACGATAGAGAGAGAGAGAGAGAGAGAGTGTGTGTGTGTGTGTGTGTGTGTGTGTGTGTGTGTGTTGCGTGCGCACCACATTGCCCATGTAGACATCTGGGAACAACTTAGTGGAGTTGGTCCTCTCCTTTGACCTTTACGTGGGCTCTGGGGCTGGAACTCATGTCATGTGGTCTGCCTGGCAAGCACCTTCACTGTCTTGTTGGCCCCCAATAGTTTCCATAAAGGACCTGGTTTAAAATCAAAACATCAGAGCCAAGATAATCCCATGATTTTTTGTTTTATTAATTTCAGTGGAAGAAATATAAAAAAATCTTTATAAGTGAAAGCATTTGTGTTTGTTTTTGCAGCTGTTTAGTGAAAAGATAAGTGGTGCCGAAGGAACGAAGCTAGACGATGTATTTCTGGACATGGAAAAGGTAAGGCTATTTGAACATGTAAATGGTTAGAAATGAGATATTCTTGCCATGTGAAAACACCTCTTACTGTAAGGAATATTACGAGGAGTGGAAATACAGAATGTTCAAAAGCAAACATGGGCTGCACAATCTGGAAGGCAGGACCTCCATGCTTCCCAGCTCTTTAGGCCCTGGCTTGAACCACATGCAGTGTGAACATGTTGAGGAAGGAAAATGGGATGTGACTAACTGGTTCCCTCTAGTGGCCAGAAATCAGAATGCACAAAAGGTGGGCCTTGGCTGCAACTCCAGGGCCAAAGTAATTGTGCTCATATGTCTTGGAGAGTTAACTATTTCTGGGACAAGGCTTTATCAATAGATAGCAACTAATTAATCATTTGGGAATCGGGGATGCTGTTCCCAATTGTTTCAGCAGCCACACAGAAAATACTTTTCTGTCATTAGAACTGTCAGGGAGAATTCTGTCAGGGATAATAAAAGAAATTATCTTTTTGTAACTGTGAGGCTTTTGGAATCATATATGCAGATGAAATAATTTAGAAGAGCATTACTGGCTTGGCATGTCAATGGTGGACTGTAACATGCCAACAGAGCGCTGCAGAATCTGTCCTGTGTCATGTCCCCTGGTCACCTACCTGGAGAGTAGCTTCAGTACAGTAGAGCTGGGTCCACGGCTACAAAGCGAGTTCCAGGGCAGCCAGGACTGTCCCACAGAGAAACACTATCTCAAAAAACAACCAAACCAAACCAAACAAAACAAACAAAATTGTCCAATCAGTTTTTAATCCAAAGTCCCATATTCCTCCAAACAAAAGCATGGTCAGGCCTATCACAGCAATACTCCAATCCCTGTCTTAATCAGTGTTGTACTGCTGTGAAGGGACACTGACCACAGCAACTCTTATAAAGGAAAATATTTAATTGGTTTGGCCTACAGTTCAGAGGTTTAGCCCCTTGTTGCCATGGTGGGAAGCATGGTGGCACACAGGCAGACATGGTGCTGAAGAGGGAGCTGAGAGCTCTGTATCCAAATCTGCAGGCTGCAGGAAGAGAGACAGACACTGGGCTTGGCTTGAGCATTTGAAACCCTAAAGTGTCCCCAACCCTCCAGTGACACACTTCCTCCAATAAGGCCACACCTCCTAATCGCTGTCAAGTAGCACCACTCCCTAATGACTGAGCATTCAAATCTATGAACTTATGAGGGCCATTCTTATTCAGGCCACCACAACTTACCATGTTTTGACCAAAAATTGATAATTGTGATGAGATTTGATGTGCTATTTTGTGGGAAGGTTTACATCTTCCTGTATTTTCCTATGTAGGAATGTGAATTCTTAAATAGTCTGTGTTCTTATAAGATTTATCCCCTTTTAAGACACAGTTTTTGTATTGCTTCCTTAATTTTTTTGTGGGTTATTGGTGGTCTAGAATAAAGTGAATGAACTCTGTATCATGGTTATTATTAATTAATAACGAGCAATGCAGGAATGGCAGAAGGACAGTGTCAGTATTAATGTGGCAGAGAAAACTCTGATGTTAACATCTGATAGGACATGGTGGTTGTGTGTAGATATTCTAACAATGGTGGTTGTCTTACTATCACCAGGATAGCTTCTAACCTGTTAGATTACATTATCATCAATATATATCATTATATTATGATGCTTTATCTAAGCGTGGTTATTCAAGTTCACTCTGTAGGCTCAAGTGTAGTCTTAGCATTGAGAGTTCTCCAAGTGTCTCTATTCAAGTAGAGTCATAATGTATCGAATATTTCTAACTCTTATTCACATTCATTTTAACATTATAAAGAAAAGGAAATCAGTGTTCTACAATGTCACTGAGCAGAGTTGATTTCTCAGAATCACAACAGAGCAGAGATCACCTCGCCTGAAGATATTGAAAACATCCATGGTAAAATTGCCACAGGCTGGAGAGATGGCTCAGTGGTTAAGAGCAAGCACCGTGCACTGGTTGCTCTTTTAGAGGACCTGGGATCAATTCCCAACACCCACATGGCAGCTCACAACTGTCCAAGTCCAGTTTCAGGGGGTCCAACACCTTCACACAGGCATACATATAGGCAAAACACCAATGTTCATGAAATAGAAAGAAATAGAAATCACCACAGTGGTGTTAGAAGTTAAATGAATGGAACTGCTTGTTGGATCTGTGACTTTGGGAGTTTTAGATTCAATAACACTTCGGTTTTGTCTTGTTCTAAAGAAAATAGATGTTACCAGTAAGGCTGTTGCAGAAATCCTTTCAAGAGCCACAGAGTATCTCCAGCCCAATCCAGGTAATGTCCGAGCACGTCTTGAAACATTCCCTTGACATTTGTGTTTAAGTCTCTCTCGACCCCCGACTCCTTTGCATGAGGCTGACACAATTTGGAAGCAATGCCTGTGTCCAAATAATGAAATTCAGTTGTGGAATCTCCAGGGACACAATGTGGCTATAGTGAGTCCTAGTGGGAGCAACAGGCATTTGGATGAGCTTTGGGGCACATGGTTAGGATGGAGTGTTGGTCTCAGTACAGGCATCCCTCAGTGGACATCATCTCTGGTATTCTGTATTCTTCAGAAACCCACTGCACATTTAAAAAATGTTTTATGAGTTACATTTTCTTAATGAACAAGAAAGTCCTCTATCTTGTTCTGAAAGGCCTGTGTATTAATTTGAAAGGGTCTCACTGTGACCCTGATGCTGAAGTTGAGGCATGATCATATGACCAGCGGTGGAGGAAGTGTGGAAAATGTGAGCATCAGCTTCTACACAAGCCTTAATCCTGGGTCCTAGACAGTGGTTGCCACAGGCTGATGAGAGCCAGCAGAGGATGCCCAAGCCTCGAGCTTTCCTCTGAGGATTTGCTGTGGGAGTCACTGTGAGTTCCTTAGCCATAGGACTCAGAAGGCATGCACCCACACTCTGAACATCTAAGAGCATACATTCAATCAGATCATCCAGGGAGAATGGTGTGTAAAGGACTCAAGATAGTAATAGCCCTAAAATTCCAAGTCCCACTAATGGTGCTGGAGTGATGAGTTTCTTTCCTGATGTTTTAGCCTATAGAATTTCATAAGCATTGTTTTTATGTGAGGGCCTTCTAGGTTCTAGAATGCAAAGTCAGGCAGACTCCACACTTCAAGAGCTGACACTGGAATGGGATAGGGAGCAGCTATCTATCAGGGCAAGTGTCCCCTGGGCAGAGACCACTGGCTATCGTGAAGATGAAGACGGATGCACCAGTAGCCTCTAATCTCACCTAATGGCTCTTACCCCATATACCACACACCCACTCTGACAATGTGAAAGGGGAACCATTGTGACTCTACATTTCAACATGATATCAGCCTGTATGGTCCAGCTTGAGAAGTACTTGTCTAGATTGCATTGAATGTGAATGTCCTAGATACCACAGCTGGTGCCTTGGATCCTTAGCTCATAGTCTCCATTTCCCATAGATGCCATTTTGTCAAACGGGCCCACCCCAGTCTATTGATTACACAGTAGGGATTCCTGCTGTACTTTACTTGACAGACAGTCTTGGACATTTTAGTAGTATGCTGAAGTCTACTTTCAGCGTCTCTTTCCTGGCACCGCCCCAGGATATTCTGGCACTCAGTAGCTGCATAGTGAGTTGCAGGAAGGGCAGGCATTTTCTGGGGGTTTCTCACATGCCCGTGTCAACACAGCATGTGGTCCAGATGTATTACTTTCCTATTGCTGTGACAAACACCACGAACAAGGCAATTCATAAAAGAAAGCCTTTAATTGGGCTTACAGTTTTAGAGGGATAGAGTCCATGCCGGTGGATCAAGGTCATGGTAGCAGGAACAGCTGCGAGCTCACATCTCAAAAACTGCAAGCAGGAGGCAGAGACCACACTGGAAATGGTTTTGGAAACCTCAAAGCCCACCCCAGTGACACCCTTCTTCCAACAAGGCCATACTCCTAATCCTTCCCAAATAGTTTCATCAACTGAGGAAATAAGCATACATCTGAGCCTGGGGCTGTTCTCATTCAAAACCCGGTGCTAAAACTATTAAATATGCAGTGCTAGAGTCAGAGACAGAAAAGTGGGTGAGAAACCATAGCTGCCTGCTACCTCCTCACGGAAAGTTGCTGAGTGGCACCTGCTGAGGGGAGAAACAACACAGGTGACTGTTCACTGTGGTGGCGTCTGCCTCCTACCTGCATGCCCCAGACCTCTTGGTGACCTTGTGAATCCTCCATTTAAATCAGTTCTTCGGAGCAGAGTGAGGGTGCTGATGACCAACTGGCAGCTTGATAGCTGCCGCCTCAGCAGTTCCAGTCTTCACAAGTGGGGACAATGGCTGCGCAGGTGTCAGTGCCAGCTCACGGGTGCTTGTTTCAGAGATAACATAGTCCGTAATGTCGGTGGCTGTTGTGGCTGAACCAGTGTGCTTAGCACCCCATGCCCCACCCTCGAAAAGGCTTTGGAAAATCACTCCTGAGAATGAAGGTGGATTGGTGCATGCCTTGTGCCTCTGGTGTTTTGCTTGTGAGGGCCACGTTTGGATAGCTGTGTTTGTTAAAGGCAATGTGATTGTCACTGTACCTTGTAACTTTAAGGAATTACAAATGACAATGTTTTTAAGCATACAGAGCTAAGCTAGGAATGCTGAACACTATGTCGAAGCTCCGAGGACAGGTGAAGGCCACTGGCTACCCACAGACAGAAGGCTTGCTGGGGGACTGTATGCTGAAGTATGGCAAGGAGCTCGGAGAAGACTCTGCTTTTGGTGGGTACCCCCAGCTCAGCTGGCACAGTGGGGACACCTGGGTGGCCTTTGGTTGTCCACAAAACCTGTATCTTTGCAGTGTAATAGTTTTTGGGTATTACCAGAGTAGTATATTCATTGCAGGGAGTTAGAAAACATAGATAAGGAATCCCACCTCCTTGGGTAGGCTCAGTTAAACTGTTAGCCTTTGTATCTCTTGTTCATTCTCATGTATTTTAAAGATTAAAACACAGTGTACACACACACACACACACACACACACACACACACACACACACACACCACGCCATAAACATAAAAATCCAGGATATGTGTATTTGTCTTTTTGAATCTGACGCATTTCTCTGATTATAATATTTTCCATCACTGCCTTTTTCACACATTTCATGATTTCATTTTCCTTTCAAGCTTAACCAAGTTCCACTGTGTGTGTGACCACCTTTTTGTCCCTCCATCCATCTTGATAGATGGTTTTTGTTTTGTTTCTTTTGGGGACAAGAGCCCATTGTGCATCCCTATCTGGCTGTAGCCCCCACCTGTTTGAGGCTGACCTTAAACTCTGTACCTTCTTTTAACATGCACTCCTTTGCTTGCCTTTATATTCCCAAGCTTTGAAAATCCTGCAGATAGGAGAGGATCTTTTTAAGTGTGTGTGCGCGCGCATGCACATGTGTACTGTACCAGAGATAAACCTCTGGTGTCATTCCTCAGGAGCTGCCACTGTGTTTTGAGATAAGGTATCACACTGGAACTGGGCTTACCAACAGTAAGGCTAGGATGGCTGGCCAGAGAGTCCCAGGGAACCTTTTGTGTCTCTCTACCTTCCCAGTGCTGGGGTTACAAGCACACACTGTCATCCCTGGCATAGAATATATATATATTCCCAGGACTTGGGAGAGAGAGGCAGGAGGATCGTTAGAGGCCAGCCTAAAGTAACTGGGAGGACTTGTCTCAGAAGTCCCCAAACAAAGGCAGTGTTGTTCAATTCCTAACAGAGGGTCTTAGTGTCCATAGAGCAATGTAAATGTGGATTTTATTTTATTCCAAGGTCCCACTTAGTGTCCATAGAGCAATGTAAATGTGGATTTTATTTTATTCCAAGGTCCCACTTAGTGTCCATAGAGCAATGTAAATGTGGATTTTATTTTATTCCAAGGTCCAGTGGGAACAAGGTGGCCTATTTTTCTTACCTTGAAGATGTATCCATTTAGAAGACAGATGAGACCCTGGATGGAAGGACACTGCTGTGCACCTGGCCATGATGACAGGCCTGTGATGACAGACAGTTGCACTAGCTATTGGAAGGAACTCCCATGAAGGGTTAGGACTGGTTTCATCAGGGCTCTGGGACAGATGGCCAGTTGCTGTTCCCAGGGAGAGTCTTGTCTGCAAAGGTTCCTTGCTTTGTGCCTTTTGCTTGGGGCCCCATGCCAGAACTTTCTAAAGTACAGAAAGTAGGCCATGTCATGGTATTCAACAGTGCTGCTCTTGGTGTGGAGGGGGTAGGGTAATGCAGACAGTGGGAAGGTGACAGCCAGTACTCAGGACATAGTCACTGGATTCTTGAAGCAGGGGTGTTTGTGTGTGCATGTGCATAGGTGTGCCTGTTCATGTGTGGAGGCTAGAAGTCTTCACCGGTCTCTTTCTACTATATTTTTTGGGACACGGTCTCTCACTGAACTTAGAGTAGCTGGCCAGCCAGCACTAAGGATCCTGTTGTTTCTACTTTTTCATTACTGGGGTTACAGGTGTGCCTTGCCAGCCTGGCTTTTTGTATTATTACAAGGTCTCTAGGGGTCAAACTTGGGTCCTCATGTGTGCTTTTCTGATGGGACATCGCCATAGTCCCCCAAAGATTTACATTTCAGATGTTTCTGTCACAGCCCTATGAGGCTGATATTGGGATACCTGGGCCCTGGTGACAATGAATATCAGGGTCAGTCAAGCAAGGTGAGATTTCCTTCCTCTGTGTAGGAACGATCTGAGTAAAAACTAGACAGCCCAGTTCAGAAAACCTCTCTTCCTAGTCACAGTGACACTCAATGGGTTGGACTGGCATCCTGGCCAACCTTAATTTCCAGAGATACTTTCCACTTGTAACTGGCAAGGACCCAGCTGTGAATTTCCTTCCTTTAAGGGTGGGCAAGGCAGCAGTGCTCTCCCTGTTTATGGACGAGTGGCTTGCCCATTCTCTCTGCCGCCTCAGCTCAGGCTTGAGAAGGGCCCTTCAGGTTTCCAAAATGCATTTGGAAGATCCCAAATAAAGGAAACCTAGTTTAGTCTCATGCAGTGTTCCCAGAGGGTGTCCCCCAGAGACCCCCCCCCAACCCTTGCTGTGCATGGCAACCAGATACAGGGTGGTAAAGACCTTGCAAGGTACAGCCAAGATGCCAGAGAGAGGATATTTAGCTAAAGATGTGCTGCCACATCCAGGAGTATTCCTTACAGAGCATGCCGGTCCCTTCTGGCCAGAGGGCATCCATCCCTGATAACTGAGAGCTCTGACCTCAGGGAGGTTCCAGAGTTTTAGAATCGTCTGCAGAGAGTGGTGTCAAACTGCTCCTCCAGCAGGTCGAGCAAGACCTTGTTTCCATTGTAAGCTGTACTGGTTAACACGAATCCCCATGAATGAATCCTTTCATTGTTTACAAAGAGATTTTATCCCTGAACTCTAAGGATCCCTTGGTGCCAGTTTCCAGACCCAATTTTCTACAAAAGATCTTTGTCTCCATCTAGTGGTCCAAGTGGGAAGTGCTTTGGTCTACTAGCTCTCTTTGAAGGGGAGGTGAGGGCACAGAAGGGAGGGGGACACATGGGGAAAACAGGTAAACTTTCTCCTTTTTCCTGTTGTTTCTGAGCCAGGAAGCAGGGGCCTTAGAGAGAAGCCTCATTGTACCACAACCCTCAGGGTTTGGAGGAAGAATTAGTGTTATCATTAACCTAGAGTGTTGTTCTAAAAGGAAGCTGTGTGTTCTTGTGTTCAAGGCAACGCACTGTTGGAAGTTGGTGAATCCATGAAGCTCATGGCTGAGGTGAAGGATTCTCTGGATATTAATGTGAAGCAAACTTTTATTGATCCATTGCAGCTACTGCAAGAAAAAGATTTAAAAGAGATCGGGGTGAGTGAGTCTTCTTAGCTGCCCTTGCCCGGTGCTGCTCATGATAACACTGTGACTTAAAACCATGACAGGGCTTCTGCAAGCGTTCAGCAAACAGATGGTCTTATTGGAGGGTGAGAACTGAACTGCTTTACTGTATTGTATGGCTCCCTGAGAAAGAGTACTGGGATCCATTTTCTGTGGAGTGGAGGTGTGAACCTAGCTGACACGTTCAGTTCTTCATCTCTTTGGAGGTGAAGACTACAAGCCAGACTGTTCATCACATTTCTGCAGCCATTTCTCATGTTACACAGTGACTCCACACTCTGGGGTGTAGTTTTGATGGCTAATATCACACCGTGTCGGTTGTATGCTTGGATCCATTGCGCTCCTGGTCATTATTTTCCGTTCTTTCTCAAGGAAACCGTTATCTATGAACTGAAAGTTTTCATCTGGAAACATGCAAGAAATGGTTGTCCAGAGTGTTCCTGGGACAGGTCATGTTCCAGGTCATGTTCAGGCTGGCTGCTTTTACAGATGTGCACAGTGGCTCCAAGCATTCCCCACCGCTAGACTTCTGCTCCAAGAGCCCTCTTGTGGCATTGTAGAGAATAACTTGAACCTTGGACTTGCCTTTATGTCAAGTCTTCACAGTGTATGTAGCCACAGAGACCCTGAGTTCAAGGAGAACTTGGGTTATTTAGTGAGCTCTTGTAACAAGCAGATGAAATGTGTGCCATGCTAAAGCACATAAATGTGTTGGAGAAACAGCCAACAGTTACACATGGTGGAGAGGTGAGAGCAGGGACAACCTGAGAGAGGCACATCCTCATAGCTGGATGCGCGGAGGCCTCTGAGGAGCTGTCCTGGCAGACTGGGCTGGGTAAATACACAGCACATTGTGCTGAAGGGCTGGTGTTATGCTGGCCAGGAGTCCAGGACACAGGGCAAAAACCAGAGGACCATGGAGGGAAGGAGGGGTGTATGTGTGGGTTCTGGGGAACCTCAGATGCCTTTATCTGCATTTAGAGATTATTCTAAAAGCTAAAGGTGTGAGGGAAGGATCCAGGAAGGCTGAATGAGACATAAAAGCTTCTTTTTGTACCCTCACCTTATTTGGACACCCCTGAATCCTCTCCCTGTTGTCACTCCTCCCTTCCATCCCAAGAAAAGCATATCCCCATTTCTGTGAAGCTCAGTCTCCACTGGGCCCCAGGTCTGTCTATCCAACTCGCCCTGTCAAGGCCTGTCATCCTGCCTGGCCATATATTTTCCTTCTTCCTGTTTCTGTTGGCTTCTCCCTGGTGATGTTTAAACACATCATTACAGCATCCCAAGACTCCGGCCCCATCTCCAGCTCTCAGCTAGAGGAATCTTCCCAAGACCCAAGCCCTCAGGAGCTAACCCTGGCTTCGTGTGAAGATAAAGCACCTTCATCTTCATTTGCCCTCCAGCCTGTGTGGACTTAGTGCTCCCCTTTCCTTTAGCTGGCCTCTGCCCAGCCTCCAGGAGTTACCCCCCTGTCCCCAGGAGACATTAGTTTGGCTCTTACTATTGCTGTCTTTTTCTCACCCAAAGCTCCTCTGATCTCAGCTTAGATGTTATTTCCCCTGGGAAGCTCTCTGTTCCCTCGAAAAGATGCTGAGCCACTCCTGTGCCTCTAGGTCATGACCACTGTTGTCGATCTGTTTCCCTCACTGGGCAGGGAGTCCCTTGGGGTGAGGAGCTCTGTTTTGCTCAGCACTGGCTCACCATGAGAAATGGCACCTGCACTGTAAGGAGCAAACACTTTTCCCAAACACAGAGTCTTGCACAGAGATCTCACCTCCACTGACCGGTACTAAATTTCCTTTCTTCTCATTCTGTGACCTTGAGTGTATAGTATAGATGGTCCACTGGCTGCTGCTGGTCTTCTGTGGGCTGGTTCAGCAAGGGTACATTGTGAGTGGCTGAGCTGTGAGAAATGGTGAAAAGCACACTTGCCATTCCTCTTGCAACAGAAGAAGTTTCCCAAGTCTCATCCATTTCTGAGGTGGGATTCATCATTCATTGATAGTATTTTATGCATCATATTCTATAATCATTTGGGAACTTTAGGAGGATTCATGGACATCCCAGTGAACACTAGACATGCGTGTTTTTATAGCCAGCCTCTTAGTGAGGAATTGACAATGGAAATGCCCTTATGTTTTGTAGAGTTAATGTGGTTAGAGGTGATCTGTGCATGAACAGAACTGGGCGAGGGGTCCTGGGGAGGCTGGTAGAGACAGTTAGCTGAGAGAGGAGACTGCATCCTTCCTTAGGCTCCACACACATTCTCCTCCTCTCACCCACCCACCCATCCGCCCACCATGTGTCCATTCTGTAACTGGTCCTGAGCGATTGGCAGCATGGGAAGCCTTCAACAGGAGCCACAGTATGCAGAGTAAGCAGAAGGGCATGATGGTTTCTTACCCGAGGATGGATGGGGCAGAGGCCTACAAAGTCCTGCCCCCTAGCTGAGGCCTGCAAATCAGTGGCTGCCAGGGGAGGGAGAGTCTGCATTCATGAGGAGTGCTCCTCCAGCAGGTGGCTCTGTGCCCCTGCACAACTGACAGCACTAAGTGGTCTCCATGGATTTGGAAAAAAAAGAAAAGAAAAGAAAAGAAAAGAAAAGAAAAAGAGAGCACATGAAGTTGGGAGAGACTGAGAAGAAGTAACGAATATATCCATCGAGATAAGAAAGATGATGTGTGCACGTGAGTGTCCACACTCTGTGGGGATTTCCTTTTTCTTTTTAGCACCACCTGAGAAAGCTGGAAGGCCGCCGCCTGGATTATGATTATAAAAAGAGGCGAGTAGGTAAGATACCCGAGGAAGAAATCAGACAAGCGATAGAGAAGTTTGAAGAGTCAAAGGAGCTGGCTGAAAGAAGCATGTTTAATTTTTTAGAAAATGATGTAAGTATTTAAACCAAACAGAAGACTTTAATGTACAAGAGTAAAATATTGCTGTATATGAGCATGACTGACGTTTGAAGAAAACCTTGTTATGGCAGTTTCTAGAATGTTTTATAGCTATCAATTCCTGCCTTAGAGATAGTGACAGATACTCAACAATCCCTGACTGAAGCCTTAGGCCCTTGGGGAGGTTTGCTTATTACCTCTGGGTGTGGCCTTGCCACAGAGGATGGCCCAGGAGACCAGCCACAGCACTTGTGGTCTGGGGCTGTAGTTTTGCTGAGGTTGACTGGTGCTCTTTGGGGGCAGATGTTTGAGGGTGAAGGTCTGTCTCACCCTCCAGCCCTCTGAGGCTTTTACCCATTAGAGTGAACACCAGAATATAAAAGCCTGGCCTCCATGTTGGCAGGCTCACACTAGTGCTTGTGACCCCAGGGACCGTGGAGGTAGGGCCACACCCTCCAGAAGCAGCAGCTTATGGTGGAGTATTTCTTGTCAACATCTCTTTTTAATTTGTCTAAATAGTTAAGTGAAGCTGAACTAAAGGGGACAGGAACTCCTAGGGGCAAGTTGGGGCCTCCCTTCTCTGCCTTGTTTACCAGGCTTTGCTGGGTGGTTATCCCCTTCTCTCTCCTAAATGCTCATTCTCAAACTGGTCCAGTGATGATACTAGGAAGCTTTGCTTCAGGGTAGTGGGTGATGGCTGGATCCCCACTGCCCTCAGGATATCATCCTGTCTCAGAGTTAACATGACTGGACCCCTCTAGTGCTAGTCAAACATAGTTTGCCTGCAACCCTGGCTCTTCCTGATGGATATGATGGTGCTTAGACTCTGAATTGGCCAGACTCTTATTTACTGTACTTAAAGGGAGGGATGGTGAGCTTTGCCTCAGGGGTTAGAGGTCTCAGCCCATGGTCAGCTGGCTCCATTCTTTCTGTGTTATGGTGACATGGAGCATCTTGGTGGGACAGAGATGCTACCCTTGGGGTGATCAAGACAGAGATTCAGGGTTGGGGGTTGAGGAGGGAGGGGAGGAGGAGAAATAGAGAAGGGGAGGAGAGCAAGCATGAGTGCCAGCCCCTGGACAAAATGCAGAAGGAGATACAGCATTACCCTTTCCTATGTCCCTCCAGTGACTATTTCCTCCAAACTAGGCTTAATCTCTTAAAGTTCCATAAGTTATCAAAGGTATTGCCATCATCTCTGGGTCAAAACTTCACTGCATGGTCGTGGGAGGGCGTTTCATATCCAAAGTCTGACACACTTGGCATTGCTCCTGTTGGAAATTGGTGGACAGATTTAAAATATGGCTTCAGGAAGAACATGGTAGCAGACAGCAGAAGATCCCCTGATCCCAGAGTTACAAAGGGTTGTGAGTACCATGTGGGTGCTGGGAGTCAAACTCTGGTCCTCTGGAAGAGCAGCCAGTGCTCTTAAGAGTTGAGCCATCTCTCCAGCCCCCAAGACAGCAATTGTTTACCAGCCCATGTATAGAAAAAGTGTTTGCCAAAGTTCTGCCTGAGAGGAGCTTAGAACGGGTGAACAGACTGTCTTTCCTGGGTCTCCAAGTGTAGGTTATATAACTTTCTTGAGCTTTCTGTCTTATTTAGATGTTTTTTAGGGTGAACTTACCCCTGTGTCCTCAAACTTACAGTCTATGTACACTGCTCTCTCTTCAAACCATATAAGCCTTCTGCAGCCTACATTCTTGTAACTGAGAAACCAGCAGGTGAGCCCGGCTGGACCCACAGACCAGCCTGGCATCCTCACACATGACCAGCTATATCTGAAATCTAAACCCAGAAAGCCAGCCACGCCTGGGATCTTTTGGCCCCTTTCATAGCCTGCTTTCTTGACAAAAACAGCCCAGAACCCGAGTAGTTCAGGTATCCTGGTAGCTAGGGGTGCTCCCCGCCCCTCACAAGTGAAAGGGCCCATCTGCCTTTGGAGTGGACCGAAGGAAGAGCTGGCATGGGACTTGGGTTTTTTACTCCATCGTTCCCAAACAAACCACACTGATGTACTCGTCTTCTTCCGGCGGGTTTGGGAATGGGGAGTAGGGTGAGTGGCCTTTAGCCTCACACTGCAGTCTTTGCTGATCTTGTTGGGAACGACCGGATTCAAGGCCCGGAGGATCTTCCATTACTCCTCAGGCAGCTGTTTAAGCCAGGGAGTGGTTTTGGTTCTCTTGACTCCCAGGGATCTTAGAAGGCCAGGCCCGTGGCTGACTCCTCCTGTGCCAGATTGTGGCTGGCATCCAGAATGGACCTCCTTTTAGAGAAGGGCTGTGTGCCCACAACTGTTCACGATCAGGTGGGGCTGCAGCAGGCAGGAGGTTGCCAGTTCTTGGGAATGACACCTGAGCCACAGGTTTAACAACTCTGAGAAGTTTATTCCTTACAACTTGACATGACTAAATGTCAGCCTTTGATCTTAGAAGAAACCAGACACATTGCATTTTAAAAATATCTCTTCCAGCCCAGAGAGGCCAGGCTCTTGCAAAAGTCACTCACTGACAGATTCCCCAGCCGGAGGCCTCCCTTCATCCACAGAACCAATGGAATTACTGGATTACAGAGTCCTTGGTTGTTTTCATTGGTCTGGAGAAGCATTTTCTTTAGGTCTCCATGTGCTCATGCATGTGCATGTGTGTGTGTGTCTGTGTCTCTGTGTGCGTGTGTCTGTCTCAGTGTGTGTGTATATCTGTGTGTGCATGTGTCTGTCTTAGTGTATGTTTGTGTCTATATGTATTTGTGTTTGTGTTTGTGTGTGTCTGTGCACGTGTCTTCCTGTCTCTGTGAGTGTTTGTATGTGTGTACATTTGTACACGTGGAGGTGACAGGCTGACTTTGGGTGTCTTCTGCAATCACTCTCCATCTTACTTCTGAAACAGTCTCCCACTGAACCTGGATCTTACCCATTTGGCTAGACTGGCTGCCAGCAAGCCCCAGGGATCTTCTGTCTCCTCCTCTCCTGTACTGGGGCTACAGGTGCCTACCACTGCACCAGGTTTGTTTGTTTGTTTTTTTTTTTTTTATGCAGACTCCATGGATCTGACTCAGAGTCACTGAAAAAAAGCATCTTTATTTACGGACAGAAATCCCCTCCAGCTCTTCCATGGAATCCAAAAGAGCAGCAATCTTAAGCACACACTGAGAAGTCACTTGAACTACCCCATTTGAAGTAGAAGGTAGCCCTCATGGCAAGCATGGCTTCAGTTGTGAAAGAGACTTGCTTGCCAACTTCCAAAGATATGCATTTATCCTTTCATGCCAATCATGCCGTGGCTCCCAGGCATCTGGGTTGGGACCCGTTTCTGTGGTCCTCTTGCAGACAGATGAGCTAGAGGGCCTTTTGTAAGCTACAGTCTTTTGGCCCTCTTTAGGAAGCACAGGTCTATTGTAGTTGCCTCAAATGGCCCAACTCAGGTTCAGATCCCAAGAGTGTCCCTGAGGTCCCACAGCTCATGGTGACTCTAATGCCCTTGTATCTGTAATCTGCCTCCATCTCCAGGGCCCAGATACTCCCAGTAGCCTCAAGTTCTGGTGCTTTTCCACCGATTTGCAGCCAAAGAGAGGTTATAGATTAGAGGTGTGCATGGGTGGCTCAAGTTCTTATGCAGCATTCATTGTCTGTCATTGGAGGGGGTCGGGTCTGTACTGTTTGTTGCCTCCGCAGACCCTAGCTCAGAGAAGTCCAGGGGTGCATAGCATAGAGCTAAGGTGGCAGTTTGCTTCCATGAGTCCCAAGGCCCCAGCTTCCGTCCCCAGGAAATGGAGACTCTAGTGGGTGCTGCCCCACCCTTAGATTTCTCTTGGTTGGAGAAGAGAAGAAAGCAGTACTGTTCATTTTCTATGGCTCCTGTAACAAGTGTCTGTAAGCACTGTGGTTTAAAGAATACCAGTCCAGCCGGGCGTTGGTGGCGCACGCCTTTAATCCCAGCACTCAGGAGGCAGAGGCAGGCGGATCTCTGTGAGTTCGAGGTCAGCCTGGTCTCCAGAGTGAGTGCCAGGATAGGCTTCAAAGCTACACTGAGAAACCCTGTCTCAAAAAACTAAAAAACAAAACAAAACAAAATAAAAGAATACCAGTCCATTGTCTTCCAGTCTGGAGGTTGGAAATCTGTTGATGGGTAGAGGGTGGGGAGACTTGGCAGGAGCATTCTTTGTCACCCTTTCCAGTCTGTTTAGCTCCATGGCCCTAGTTTGGCGTCCTTTGCCTGTAAAGCCAGCAGCAGAGTGTCTTCAAGCCTCCCACTCTGATGGTCTTATCTTCTACTCGCATTCTGTGCCTCCTGTCTTCCTCTCAAAAATTGTCGTGTGTGTGTGTGTGTGTGTGTGTGTGTGTGTGTGTGTGTGGACTGGCCTCAAACTTGCTCTACAATGAGTATAATGTTGAACTCCTTGTCCTCCTGTGATCACCTTTAAAGTGCTGAAATTACTGTCAATACTTTCAGTTTAGGTAACCCTGGGATTTGAACCCAGGGCTCAGTGCATGCTAAGCCAGAGTTATACCAGCTGAGCTGCATCGTCAGCCCAAAAGCAGCTTATAGTTAACATTGGGCCACACTGGAAAGCAAGGTTCCTAATTTAACTGCCTGTCAAGTGCCTCTTGCTGTACAGCATAGCATATTCATGGCTTTCACTCACAAATGAAATCAGTAGACTGTTACAATAAATCCTTCCACCAAAAGCCGCCGAGCCCCATCGCCATGTGTGTGCTTTATGCCAGCCGCCTGCCTGAGTTAGGGCCCAAATGAATACACAGAAACTTGTATTAGGTTCAAATGCTGCTTGGCCAATGACTAGGATTCTCATCTGTTAGCTCAGTCTTATTTATCATATATCTATTTTTTATAAGACTTATCTTATAGAGGATGCCTTTTACTGGTGCCCTCTCTTGCCGATGGCTCACATGGTGCCACTGGAGCAGGTGAAGGGGAAAGGGGACACTTCCTGTTTCTTCTTGCTTAAATATGAGTCTACTTGTTATGTCACTTCCTGCTTGGATCACCACTTCTCTACTACATTTCCCAGAATCCTCTTTGACTCCTAGTCCTGTCTAACTTGCTGTCTCATTGACCAAACAGTATTTTATTCAATAATCAATAAGATGAACATACACAGTATATTCCCCATCATCTCCTCTTTACTGTCTAAATAAAAAGAAGAGTAACTTATCTTTTATAATTGAAGAAAACTATAACCATAACTATCTGTCTTCAACTCTATCAAAGAACACAGACGGATAATATATAAACTGTAGAATTGACAGACACATCTCGCTACCTGGACAGTCACCCAAGTTCTTCTGTAACGTTGGGGCATCCATCATCAGCCCATAAGCCATAGTGTGTCTGGCACACTATTTCTCCATTTCAACAGGAACCCTTTAGTACTGTCTTGTTTTGTAAGTTTAGCAGTCATTTTCTTGTGGGTCCTGTATGTCTAGCTTATACTATAACAAACAGTTCAGGCAAGAGCAGTTTCTTGCCCAAATGGCTAATCTTGCCATGTTGAAAGCAAACTCCATAA